ACTGTGATGACTTTCCATACTTTCTCCTCCCATCATTGTATAAAAACAAGGACAGGTTAAGACCTCACAAAGTCAAGGGGACAGAGAGAAGAGCAGCTCAAGGAGGGTGATGGGAAGGAGTCAACCTCCACAGGCAATTCACAGAGAGCACACAGTGGATCAATCATGTACAACTAATGGCGAGCTCACTTTAGAGAAAATAACCACAATGGAACCTGTTGGTCCAACCTGTTGGAACCTGTGGATTTTAACAGCATTAAAAAATAGTAACAGCAGTTTTATGATACAAGCACTTTGAACCTGTCTTGGTCATAAAATTACAAAGCTTGTTGTCTCAGGATGGGATAGTGTCCAAAGCTTTACTTGGTCATTATAAAATCATAAAGGCTGGGGGAAAAAACAGGCAAAATATGTTTTTTTCCAAATTGTTTTTCACCAAAATTAAGGGTGACAGGTGCAGAGCCCCAGGGTAGAGAGATCCCCAGAGCTCCTGGATGGGACTTAAGTGAAACAGTAAAAAGCCAGGAAAGTCAGAGCTGCTCAGATTAAGCATGAGTCTCAGCACCATGACTCCTGTAAAACTGCCCTTTTAGAAATGCTTCTAGCTATGTTTCTGTCTGTCATGCCAGTCTGGCACACGCTTTGGATAGGTTGAAGTGAAACTGTGGAAGTGAGAATCCCCTTTGCCCTCCAAAGAGTTGCCTTTCCTAACAGACGGCTGAGCCTGCAGACAAAGCCGAGTCCCATCTCCTTCTCAGGTCTCACACATAGGGCTTTTTGCCTGTGTTGGGCCAGCTCAGAAATGTCATTACCTTTGATTAGTGTCTTGATACTTCTGCAGCCTTTACAAATGGCATGTGAGATGATAAATATTAGTTGTCATACATTCCTGAAGCCAAGTGTCTACAAGGATGGGGACCTGGTACTGGCTGGGTTTTTCCCTCTTTATAGCATTTAGGAAGAAGATATACTTACACAAAATTATCGGATAAGGCCCACTCAAGAAGTGTCAGATGACTAGTAAGTTGTTGGGTACATGTATCTGAAAATGCGATTGTAACTGTGTAATAACTTAGTTTGCATATATACGTGTATGTAGGATTAATCCCACTTGAGAATAATTTCATGTGCACAGAAATGAGACAAGTGCAGAAATGTGAACTCAGGATGTTCTGCCTTGTTATCCTCTTATCTTTTTTTTTATTTTCAGTATCTCCATTTCTTTCAAGACAGAAGAGAGTAATTAATAGTTTGTTGTCTACTTTTTCAGCACTATCTCTGTATTTGGTCTTTGGAAAGCTCAGAGTGAGTGAAATTGTTTATACCTCAGCCCTTTTATAACCAAGACCTGTATAGCAAGGCCTACATGCATATTGAGACACTGACCTCTTGACATAAAGTTAATGTTAGCTTCAAGGTGCTGACTATGGTACTCACCACTAACTAGGGGATTGTAGAAAGGTGCTTTGTAGAAAAGTCATGGCTTTGTAAAGCCACCACAATATATTAACCCAGAAGGATGGCCACACCTCAATCCAATCCCCATTCTCTTCTCAGGCTTGCACATGTGCCCAGCATCATTTTTGATCTGCAACACTGGTACTTATACCTTAATTTGTCATGTGGAAATCCAGAGCCTTAAACACCTTGCCACCTACTCACCTCTTCATACATTTTAAAGCAAAGAATGCTTCATTTAAAGCCTCAAAAAATATGTGAGTAGTGTGACTATGGGATTCTGCAGTAGTTCAGGAATATTAGGCTAACCTCCGAATGTAGTAAGGACAAGAAAGAATTTAAACTCAAAGAGCAAGATGGGAGTAATTGGAGAGAATATTACTAAATGGTAACATTACAGGTAATGAAGATTCTGGCCAAATTCACTTGTGTGAATTATGTACAAGTGTACAGATAGGACTGAACAAACTCTCTTAAGTCTGATTAAAGTTTTAACAAGGGGCAATAAGGTAACCTCGTGGCTAAGGAGCTCTACTCCCACATGGTCAAGGTTTGAGTTGCTGACCCAGCAGCTTGAAACTTACTTTGTACTACACACAGTGATTGGTTTCAGTCTGATTTTAGCCCAGCAACAGGAGTCATTAATTCCTCTGAGACTTGTAACGGGGACACAGTGAACATTTACCAGGCACAGAAATCTAAACCACAGTAACACAATTATGCAGAATCTATCCCCTATCTACCTAGAGTGGAGTCAAACTCCTAACTCAGCATGGAGGGTAAGGCAGCTGGATTCCATATGGCTGACTACATGGTTTGAGTACTGAATAAATTTGCCTGAGAAACATGCCAGATATGGAAGTTTGCCTGCCTATCCAATCATCCCAAGTGCAGAATGAAGGAGAAGAGATTGTGGAATAACCATCTTCCAGCCAGGGGGTTATTTCTCGCTTTTTTTCTCTCTCTCTCCTTCCCTCTCTCTGTTTCTCTATTGTGAGTGCACATCTTGTAACAACAAAAAAGTAACAGTAAAATATAACAACAATTCAAGTAAAGTGGAGTTATGATTTCATAAAAATCTCTAGTCTCGCATGCTTTATTAATAAATCAGGAGACAAGCAGATGGCATAGCACTTATGTCACTGGTCTCCCACATAACAAACTGCTCTTTGAGTCCTGGACCTGGTGGCTTAAAAGTCACACCTGGACATGTGTGCATGCATGCCCAGGGTCACAGGATGAGAAGAGAGGATAGAGAATTTGAGCCATGCCCTTTGGGGATAATTTTTCACTTTCCCTCTCACTGAGTGTCCCTCTCTTTCTTTAACGAATAATGCACCCTAGGGCAAAACCTCTCAAAAAAAAAAGAAAGAAAGAAATTTGTTTAATGGTTATGTTAAAGTCAAAATTTAAGAGATTAAGACTAGAATAATTCCAAAGAATGGAGACAGGATTAAAGATAATACATAATAATTCAGAAAGAAACAAAATTGAGCAATTTTTAAAATCTCAAAAAATATTTGTAGCTAATATGTAAAAGTTAAGAACTTCCAAGTAGGAAATGAATAATTAAAAGACCAATTAACTGTAGAGAAAAATGCCTTTACAAATTGATAGAAACACTTGACATAGTCAGTAAGTAAATAGCAGATCTGAATTAAATATATAATTTTCAACAAAAACATACTTAACAATGCTTTTTTCAAACAATTTATGTAGAATTGTATAAAACTATAGAAAAAGCCACCCAAAATGTGACAAACAGTTAAAAAACTGAAAAGCCAGATGCTACCTTTTAAAATTATATTTAATGTTATTTGTTATTATTTTGTATTGAATATGCTATAGGGCATGCGTGCTCACCAGAGAGAGCGAGAAAGTGAAAAAGCAAGTTGCCAGGGCTGGGACTCCAACTGTGGTCATCTTATTTGAAAGTCTAACGCCTTAAAGACCGTACCAATTGCTAACCCCACCAGATGTTATTTAAATTTTGAGAACATAGGGAAAATAAAAAATGTTTCAGTCATGGTTTCTGGACCTACATAGAAACAAGATGACATGTGGGATACATTCATGAAGAATTATAAAACTTAGTGTAATCATGAGGAATGTAACTCATAATTGAGTATTATTCTTTCCAATGGTGCCAAGGAAGTGTGATGCCAATGTTATCCTCACAGAAAATATGAAATATTTTAGGTGATATATATTAACTACCATAGTCTAATTGTTCCATATTATATTTAAAAATCCTAAAAATACTTTGTATTATATATGTGTATATATATACACACACACACATACATCTATATATACATATTATAAATTGCCTATATATACATTTTTAAACTGTATAAAAAAATGGTGAATGTGTGCACTCTTTATTCACAGCCTGTAAAAATGTTGTCTTTTCTTTACATTAATGATCCATCTTTAAAATCACCTCTGTTCAGGTGAGAGTCATCATCCAGTTAAACAAAATCTCATCTTCTTCACAAGGTCCTGGGAACCTCTGTTCATTGTTTGGACACAATTTGCTTAAGTAGAGAGAAAAACATTTCCAGGTTTTCTAGAGCCCTGTGAATATTACTCACACCAGCTCCATGTACCAGTGCAGGAGAATCTCTGAATGGCAGCCTAGGCCTAAACCTTTATGCCTTGTGGCTTGGCTGAAGAATAGAGAGAGAAAGTGAAAAAGCAAGTTGCCAGGAATGGTACTCCAACTGTGATCATCTTATTTGAAAGTCTAATGCCTTAAACACCATACCAATTGCTAGTTCCTCCAGATGTTATTTAAATTTTAAGAACATAGGGAAAATAAAAATACTTCAGTCATGGTTTCTGGACCTACATAGAGACAAGATGACATGTAGGATACATTCAAGAAGAATTATAAAAGTGAGTGTAATCATGAGGAAAGTAACTCATAATTGAGTATTATTCTTTCCAATGGTGCCAAGGAAGTGTGATGCCAATGTTATCCTCACAGAAAATATGAAATATTTTAGGTGGTATATATTAACTACCATAGTGTAATTGTTCCATATTATATTTAAAAATCCTAAAAATACTTTGTATTATATGTGTGTATATATATACACACACACACATACATCTATATATACATATTATAAATTGCCTACATATACATTTTTAAACTGTATAAAAAAATGGTGAATGTGTACACTCTTTATTCACAGCCTGTAAAAATGTTGTCTTTTCTTTACATTAATGATCCGTCTTTAAAATCACCTCTGTTCAGGTGAGAGTCATCATCCAGTTAAACAAAATCTCATCTTCTTCACAAGGTCCTGGGAACCTCTGTTCATTGTTTGGACACAATTTGCTTAAGTAGAGAGAAAAACATTTCCAGGTTTTCTAGAGCCCTGTGAATATTACTCACACCAGCTCCATGTACCAGTGCAAGAGAATCTCTGAATGGCAGCCTAGGCCTAAACCTTTATGCCTTGTGGCTTGGCTGAAGAATTTACCCTGCATTACATGAATTTATTCTACTTCCTAACACTGTCCCCTCTGTATAGGTACCAATGGAAGAATTACCAATATGCCCTGTCCTTTCTCTTTGCCATTGAGGAGATCAATAAGAGCCTCCATTTGCTCCCTAACCTTTCCCTTGGTTATGATCTCTACAATGCATTTACTAGTGACAAAAGAACTTTACAAAATCCTCTGTTTTTGCTCTCTGGAGGGAATCAGATCCTGCCAAACTACAACTGCCAGACACAGAAACAACCTGTTGCTATCATTACAGGAGACACGCCAACATTTTCAGCCCAAGTTGGAACCCTTTTGGAACTCTCTAAAATCCCACAGGTAAGTGGGTTACCAGGATGGGGAATGAGAGTTGGATAGCTTTTAATGGCGTCTTCTCACATATTAGCAAAGAAAAAGTAAAAGCTGGATTTACATACCCCTTGCGACTCTCAACCCTTCTCTTGGTTGGTTGTGTTCAATTTTCTGAAACACAGAACAAAAACACAGGTAATTTCCTGAGTTATGAGATTATTAACAGTACAAAGATGAGAGAAAAAGAGCAGAGGTGGGCCAATTGGTGATAGATATGATGGTTAATGTGGCTGAATCCCACATGGCTTACTGCTTGGTTTAAATTTTGATCCAGGTGGCTCAAAGAACACACTGGGTTTGTGCACCTGCATCCTATGAGGGGTTACTTCTCACTTTCCTCTGTCTCTCTGTGGCAGGCACACATGATACAATTTGCCCTCTAACAAATAAAAAATAGCAAGAGAAGTGGAATCTGTTGTTTCAACCAAATGCCTATCCATATCCATTACACTCAGTTTCCACTGATGAGAACATTGATGGCCAATTTAAAGATGTCTCCTAAAAAGTATGAACTGAGTAGCCATTTACCTTATCTTGAGAGAGGAAAATATCAGGGGACATTTATTGTACAATTTGATACAAAGATATAAAAAAATTGCATTCATTACATCAAACAAAGAAAGGACATTCCAGCACTGGAGATCCTCCAAGTTAGGTATGGCTCAGTTACAATAACAGATTTACAAGCTCCTTCTGCCCTTTCTCACACCCATGCAGGTGGATCTCTTGAAGTCGCTTCCAATTACTCTCCACATAACAGCTCTCCACCTCAGAGATTCTTTCGGGGAAGCTGTCTAATTACTCTCCACACAACAGCTCTCCACCTCAGAGATTGTTTCGGGGAAGCTGTCTAATAAAAGTTTGAGGAAACATTACTGGAAAACATATTAGCTTAAGGAGAATCACAATCTTGAAAAATTACATTTTAAAAATGTTAGAGAGGACATGGAACCTGAACTTCAGCTGTGAAATAGTGCTTTCAGAGATTTCAAATGAAGATTTTCTGCTGAGACTTCTTTGTCACTTATTTCTTTTTATTTTCCCCAATTTATTTATTTGCATTCATTCATATGCTTTCAGATACATAAAATGAAGATTTTATGCTGAGAGTTCTTCCTCACCTATTTCTAGTGAGTAGTGCTACCTATCTCTGTCTCCATTTCTCTCTGTCTCTCTGTGTCTCCCTGAGTCTTTTAATTTTTTTAAAGGTAAAGTACTTTCTGGACTTTCAAGCCCCTATATTGTGTTAAAAGGTGCCTCTCCCCTTCTGTTTAGGAAAGGCACAAACCCAGGCCCATCTCCACATAATCTTGAACTTCAGCTGTGAAATAGTGCACGCCATGCGGTTTTCAATTTTTGCATTTTAATATTAAAATCTATAGTTTTTATTATCCTTTTTTCTTCTTATCTTATATTTTCTTCTTTCTTTTTCTCTAAGTCTTTTCTTTTTTTAATCTTTACTCATTGGCTTCTCAACCTCTACTCACTAAGTGTCTAGACAGGTCCAAGTGAACAGGATCTAAACATCTGAATACAGTTAGGGTTAGACTATTCCTCTATTCCCACTGATTCTGATGCACAAAGAGTAAGAACAGAACAGAAGAGAGATTGCAGATCACATCCTCCTGCGTGCTTCTGAACAGTAATACTAAACTTTAAGAATTAGAAGAAATGCACTATCCATCAGATGACTAGAAATCACCACAGGGTCACAAGAAATATGGAAAAACAAGTAAATACCTCTCCTCCAAGGAAAAATAACTCCTATTCATCTCCAGACAGTATGAAAAAATTCATGGAAATGTCTGATAAAGAATTTAGAATTTTCATGGTGACAAAACTCACAGAGATCAAAGAGAAGGGAGACAATGAACTGCCGAAGAGGCAGTGGAAAGGAGCTGATGAGCTTCAGGAGGTGAGGAAATTCTTGCAGAATTTAAAAGAGGAAATTCACAGTATAAAAAGGAATCAAATCGACCTGTTAGAGATGAAGATTATAAAACGGGAAGTCAAAACCTCCCTTGAAAGTTTTAAAAGCAGACTAGATCATACAGAAAAAAAAATCTCAGACATAGACGATAGAATCACTGGCCTAGGAAAATCCACCATGAAGACTGAGAAAATTTCCCAAAAAAATGAGGATACTATACAAGAAATACTAGCTATCATCAAATGTCCAAACATCCAGATAATTGGTATCCCAGAAGTGGAAGAGATCCATATGTTCATTGACAATCTATTCCATGAAATCCTGGAAGAAAACTTTCCAAACCTACAGAAGCATTCAAAGACCCAGTCCCAAGGAATACGAAGGGCCCCTATAGAATCAACCCAAGAAGATCTTCTCCAGGACACATTATAGCCGGATTGAGCAAAACCACAAAGACTAGATATATAGATTGGCAAGAGAGAAACGTCAAGTTACCTACAAAGAATATTCCATCAGGCTGACAGCGATCTCTCATCAGAAACAATGTGAATGAAGAAAGAATGAGAAAATATATTCAAAGTGTTAAGGGAAAAGCAATTGCAACTATGGATACTATACTCAGCAAGAATATCCTTCATATGGGAAGAAAAGACAAGAACATTCTCAGATCAACAAAATCTGAAAGAATTTACCAACACCAGGCCAGATCTCCAAGAATTTCTGCAGGGAGTGCTATGCCAGAAAAATTAAATACAGTCACACAGAAATAAGACTTCAAAAACTTAGAAAATGGCCAGCTTAATCGTGGGGACAAGTCTAGAGTTGAATATTATATCCCAGAATTTAATTGGGAAAATTGAAACCAAACAAAAGATAAAGTACATTAAAGTGAACTGGTGAAATAGAATTTTATGACTTTTGACTAAAACATTGTTGGTTTTTTTCTAGGCTTTGTTTTCTGGTTTTGAGGATTTTTGTCTTGTCTTGAACTGCCGATAGGTTCATGTACCTACTATTTGAACAAAATCCCAGCCTGTTTGCTGGCTTTAAGTTTTAAGCATATTTCTTTGGCATTTCTCTGATTTATTAAAGTTAAATCTGTTTTTCTTGAAATTAAAAAATATAGTAAAAAATACATAATTAATGACCATAATAAACTATATAGCATCAGCTAGGTGCTACCTTATTCATTCTAGTCAGAGTTTCATTCCTTAAGTCAGACATGTATTCATAGATATGTATATATCAGCAGAGCTTGCTATTAAAAGTAGTTCAATTATTTAAGAAAGTTTGTGAATCAATAAAATATAGTGGAAAAAAGTAATGGAAAACAACTGTGAACACCTGAGATAGTGTGGGAGGAGGGTGGGAAATGGCAGAAGGTGAGAAATATGGGGGAAATATATAACTAGAAATGAAAAATTATTGATGATAACATATATGATTAAGCTACTATGCAGCGTATTCTGGATGGGAAATCACATTTTATATTCTGTGACAATGCTCAGTGAATGAATGTACATTAATTAATTAAAAAAAGAAAAAAATCAGAGAGCCTAAATGTGTTTTAAGATGATATAGGTTATTCTGTGGTGATAAAACACAGTATCAAAAAATCAATACAACATCTTTTCTCAGAGTTGATATTATTATCCTTGGCTACTAGGAATGGAAGCCTCTGATCTTTACATCACATGAACTCAAGATAGCAGAATTACCATTTTGTTGAACTGTTTTTATAAATGTATGCATCCCTCAGTTTCTACAGTACACAATTAAACTATTATTGAACCTTACACTTTTTCTTTTATGCTTTGTTCTGGAAGAGATATTATTATTTGGACTAGTCACATGTTCTTTATTGAAAGAAATGGGCCTGGAAAACAGTCTTCTACTGCTCTTAATCACAGCATGCATTTTCTTCACTCAATATTCCATTCTCTGATCTTATCAGGTAGAGATTTAAGTTGTCCTACCTGTTTAAGTGGGACTATCCAAAATCCTAGTAAGGTTAGAATCAGATGATTTCTTTCTTATTCAGGTCACATATGGTCCTTTTGACTCCATTCTAAGTGATAAAGACCAATTTCCATCAGTTTATCAGATGGCCACCAAGGACAGCTCTCTGGCTCATGGAATCGTCTGTTTGTTGCTGCATTTTGGTTGGACGTGGGTGGCACTCTATGTATCTGATGACACGCAAGGGGAGCAGTTACTTCAGGAAGGAAAGGCAAAGATGACAGAAAAGGATATCTGTGTGGCCTTTACAGAAATGCTCCCTGCCACAAAAGGTATCATTTTACCACAGGACTTTACTCTTACTAAGAGTATCAGAGTTTCATCTGCAAATGTATATATAGTACAAAGTGATGAATGGAGTATCTGGAGCCTAGGAACAGAAAAGGAATTCTATTCAATTCCAGGAAAGATATGGATCATGAGAAATCTTTACTCCTTAGAGTAGAAAATCATGTTGACTTATGCAGAGTATACACAATACTTTTTCCATGGAAGCCTCTTATTTTCAAACCAAGAAAGGAAATTTTCTGGCTTTAAACAATTTCTCAAGACAGTGAACTCTTCTCAACACCCAGAAGATTTTTACTTCAGTAAACTCTGGCTATACTTTTTTCAATGCTCACTTGCTGGATCATTATGTGGCAAACTCAGAGACTGCCATCCAAATTCATCCCTAGAGTTTCTACCATCTGAGTCAAGCATGATGATCATATTTGACCCCAGCTATTTTATCTATCATGCTGTGCATGTGGTGGCCCAAGTTCTTTCTAAGATGCTTTTGCATAAAATAGAAATGGGATCTCCAGGAGATGCAGACCAGCCTATTCTTCCCTGGCAGGTAAACACCCTTCAGAAGCAACTGATAACTTTTAGAGGATTTAAAAAAATTTTTTTCCATAGTACATGTGCACTCATCAGAGAGAGACTGTGAGAGGGAAAGCCCCCCCAGAGGGTAATGGCCACACCATAATCCCTTCTACTACATTATTCTCCTGTTATTTTTGACAAGCATGTTCAAATAACTGACATGACTTTCAGGCTTCCAGTTCTGCGACTCATACCATGATAAGTCATGTGGGAGTCCACATAAACCATGATACTATCTGCTGACTCTTGGAAGTTTTGTTTGTTTTGGGGGGTTATTTTTTAGCTTTTTTCTAAAGCTGGTTAGTGTGTGCACTCACCAAAGAGAAAGAAAATGTGATAAATCACTCCCTGGGGGGATGGTGGTGGTGCAATCCCTTCTACTCCATTCTTTTCTTTGGATTTTGGGTATGCACACATATGTGCCCAGCATAATTTTCAAGCCAGTGGGTCCAGAACTTGAATCACAATAGGTCATGTGGAAACCCAGCCACCCTAATCACCATAACACCTGCTGAATTATTTATTTATTTTATTTCTACAGAGAATTTTGCTATTAAGTATGTGATTTCACCAGTGAGTCAGAGAGAGATGGAGAGACAGAAAGTCAGAAATAACCACCCAGAGGGAATGGCCACACCAGAATTCCTAATTTTTCATTCTCCTCTGGGAATTTTCAGCATGCACACACATCTGTCCATTATGAGGTTTAAGCAGCCGATTCCAGGACTCAAACTGCAGTCATGATGTGGAAGTCCAGTGATGTAACCATTACACCATCTGCTGGTCCATGGTGAAGTATTTCTTTAAAAAACACAATTTGGGGACCAGTGGATAGAATAATGGTTATGTTGCTGGACTCCCACATAGTCAACCATAGTTTGAGTCCCAGACCTGGTAACTGGAACTGATGCTGGACAAGTGTGAATGTGTGCCCAAGATCCCAAGAGGAGAATGGAGGAGAAGGGATTACAGTGTGACCATCCCCCAGGAGTGTTTATTTCTTGCTTTCTGTCTCTCTCTGTCTTTCTGGCGAACATACATGCCCTAAAACAAAAACCTCTCTTAAAAACAAAACACAAAACCTATGTTTTCTTCTCAAAATAACAAGATTAGGCAATTTTTTTTAAGTTTTTTATTTTAATTTCCCCCCAAGGTATATGGGTAATTGTTATTTCTACTTACAGAGTTGTGCCACTAAAGACTTGGATTTTGAAATATTTGGCCTAGCTCCATGGCCTGGTCCTTGTTGTAGTTAGATCCCACATAGCCAGTCTTGTGGCTTGAATCCTGGCCAGAGATTGAGAAACCACCAGAAATGTGTCTGTCCCTGAACACATATTTGTCAGTGAAGGAGAAAGAATTGTGATATGACCATTCTCCATGAAAGTTGCTTTCTTTCTCTCTCTTTGACATGCACTCTCTGGCAAATTTTTAAAAATTAATTAAATTAGTAAAAATAATGTACAGTGAAATACAAAAAAATGTCCAAGAAAAAATACTTGACAGAATATAGATCACAACTGGTCAAATCTATGTGTGTTTTTTAGGAATGCATCTAACATCAGAGAATATTAACATAATAACCATATCCATTTCAT